CGCCGCCGGTGCGCGCGCGCCGGCTGGCTAAGGCAGGCCAAAACCGAGCCGCGGACTGACTTCCCGCGGCACGGTCCAGCTCCTGCTCTGCTCCCGTGACACTGACATCTGGAAAGGATCGTACAACCGTCACGGCGAAGACGGAAGGGAGCCCACGGCTGCTTCGTAACCTGCTTCGACGAAGGCCCAACCACACTAAAACCAGTTTCCCACGTTTTTCTGCGCTGGTGGTGCAGAGGGAGGCTGCTCCGGCGTGGAAGAGACACGGACACATCTATCACCACTTGCTGCCCTCAGAATCTGCCACTCTGCGCGCGCTCGAGCGCAAAGACGCTTACAAACGCCATTCTCCAACACGCACAAAGCCCCGGGCCTTGTGACTGCAAGCGAAGTGAAACGCGTTGCGGTGAATGATTAAAAGAGAGTAACTGGGCTGAGACTTACTTGTTGCTCAAGGCTCCTCCCTGGTCGCAATCGCAAGGCCGACATCCATCCATGTCGTTGCTCAGACCCCAGTGCTCAGGCTGCGGAGCGAGACATCGCTAAAGCTGTGACGAGGTGCTGACTCGACCCCACCTACCTCAGAGGTGCATCCACGCTTGGAAATACTCTGCACAAGCCACCCTGGCCCGTCCCCAGGAATCCTGCTCCCCTCACCGAGCCACAACCACCAAACACAACCCATAACCGCTCTCCTCCCGCTGGCAGCCAGCTTCGAGGCTCGAGGAAAACTCCTCTGCTCTGCAGCACCTCTGCAAAGCCTCACCCGAGGCTGCAAAGCACCAGAGAGAGCCAAAGCCCAGAAAACCACTTTTCTACATAATTAAAAAAAAAACTTCAAGAGGGCTCCAGCTCCCTGACCGCAGTGGTACAGCACTATTTACACAGATTTGGGACCTGGCTCCCGACCCACGAAGGGCTCAGAAGATTACTGCCTCGTAGGCCGCCCTACCTGGAAATTTGCCTGCGCCCCACCAGGCTGCAGCGCCCGGGCTGACCCTGCGCTGCCCTTTCTGCACACCGCTCTCCCTCAGACTAGTGTTTTCCGATTTATTCTTACTGTAAGCTACTTACCAGACACTGACTGCACTGCTTTCCTGTTACCAGACGCTTACAATAGCAGTTTCCTGTCTCCGAATCACAAGGGTTCCCTCCGGGATGGGTACCCAAAGGATTACATGCACAAGCTGTAATTGGGAAATACAAACAGGTAAGCTAAAACTCATGATTTAGTTACATTTTATGCAACGTCCAATTTAAATATTTACTGTGAAACTTCCTTTACTTTCCCAGGAAAGAGATGTATTGCACACTTTTCCCACCACCCATCCCAGTAACGTTTCCCTGTCTTAGACTCCTATAATTAAAAACAAACACGGAGGATTCTCCTCTTTCCACTGAACAAACTAGGAGGATCAGCCGGGGAACTGAATTCTAACAGAGGGTGGACTCTAAGTTACAGCAAATCTGTAAGACTGTCCTGCCTTTAGGAAAAACAAGAAATCAAACAAACAAAAAAAACTCCACCCCACAAACCAAACTCTCCCAGCCCCAACAACTCCTCAAAGAGCTTTTGATCGCACATAAAGGAACACATGTTTCTACTCACACTGACAACCCGCTGGGTCATCAGCACTCAGGCCGTAAAACCCTTCTTTGCAGAGGTCACAGCGCTCTCCTTCCACAAACACTTTACAACGGCACTGCCCAGCAATAAGGCCAGTAGAGAAATCGGTGTAGCGATCACATATTCCACCGTTTTGGGAGCCAGCTGGGTCACAGTTACAAGCTACGAGGGAAGCACACGTTGCACACGTTAACTGCTACCCCCCAAAAAAGGCTAGTTCCTGCCCTGAATTACAAGCATCAAACATGACATGGTTTGAACGTATAACGACCAAATAAACTTCCGACAAAACCAAATCAAGCCAGGCTCAAGATCTCCAAGATAATACCCACCCCTCACCAACCCTTGCTCATGAGCATTGCACTGGCCGGAAGAAGGGGCGGGCAAGAGAGACGCAGGAACGGATCCTCTCAATTCTCTGAATTCCCCAAATTCCCAGACGCGACGCAGTCGCACCCTGGGGAGCGACGCGGCACTTACGCTCGCAGACGTCAGGGTCCCGCAGGTCTCTCTCGGGGTGCTGGAAGTAGAAGGGCTTGCACTGCTCGCAGTTGCGCCCTACCGTGTTGTGCTGGCAGTCGTCACACACCCCCCCACTGGTGTTCCCAGTGGTCATGTACACGGCCATGTCAAAGTGGCACTGGCTGGAGTGGCCGTTGCAATTGCACTCTACGACACAAGACAAAAAGCTAAGTAAGAGCCCTGTCCTACCGGAGCTTTGAGCCTGCAGAAAAGACATGTTCAAGCCAACTGAAGAACGCGCAGAACTTTATACAATGTCACAAACGCCACAGGTCGCTCGTATAAAAACGCGTAGCATTCTAAAAGCAAAAAAAAAAAAAAAAAAAATCCAATATTAGGCTTCAGATTGCATTTTGCTTAAACTCACTTTTGCATGCATTGCTGTTGCGACCTTCGGCTGGTCGCCAGGGTAAGTCATGGTAGAAATCCAAACACTGCTCACAGTTTAACCCTTTGGTGTTATGTCTGCACATGCAGTGCCCATGGACCTACCATTAAAACAGAAAAATGACAATTATATATTTGGCTATAAAGAGGGAAGGGAAAAAACACGCTCCTCCAGTTCATTCAAAACATAGCTAGCATATAATGGACATACTTTTGCATATACTTTTTGGATATACTTTTGCTTATACTTATGGACATACTTTAATGCATATAAGTGCCCGTAAGAGGACATAAGGGGTCACACGGAGCGTCCTTCACCTGCCTAGGTAAAAGTATAGCCTTACAAAATTATCCTCCTCTCCTTACTGGAACTAATGCATGAATAAATGCTTTCACACATGAACAAGGGGAGCACAGTTCCACTTAAGTAATCACAAAAGCCTCTTGGAGCTAATAACTAGCTGTTGATTAGCTGTTAATTAGCTATTAACAAGTATCGAGTTACAGGCCACTTCTGGCCCAGCATCTTTTTTCAAGCAGCACCTTGCTTCTTGGAGCATCAGTAAAGATAACAGGCACTGCATTTTGGATGGGTTTTTATCCATCGATCCAAAGGGTTCACTATGTACAGAACTACTAAGCAGACACACGCGTGACAGCCACTGCCTTTGGCGATGGTGACTACCAGCACTAGAGCCGTGACTTTCACAGGAAAGCTGACCTTGATGCCACTCAGGTGGAGAGAGAGGCTCATGCCCAGGAGCAGATTGTACCCGCTTGCCAATGCCCCGCGGCCCCCCACGCACCTTCCCATGTGCTTTCACCTTTTCATCTCATTAATAGCTCACTCGTTAACAGGAGTCCTATTACTGTTCATCAGGCACAAATTATGGGGAAAACCAAGAGCCCAGAAGGGATGTGGCACTTGCACAACAGCATACCAGCCAGGCAGCAGGATTTTCTTTGAGCGCCTGCTTGCTGTTAATTAATTATGCCTTTGGCTATGCAAACTGATAGTCCGCCTCTCAGCTGGTAAGGATCCATACAGGCGTAGGTCTTGCTTGACTCACAGGACACCCTTGTTTACCTTCACTTCAGGGCAACCAACTCAAGCAACAGACTCATCTCTGGCTGCATACAGGCAATGCTCCTTCTGCGTTGCTGCCTTTAATTTCATCAGTTCTTTAACATAATTAGAAAAGGAAATTCAGGATGCTAAAATAATTTTCAACTTATCTCAGCTCTCCACGTTTGATTAACACCAATACTGACAGAAATATTCACTGATAAAGACCATTTTAATGGTTTTCTTGCTTGGCTATTAAGGTGGGGGGAGAAGACAGTCCCTGTCATCTTTCTGCTTTAATGCCTTTTTGCCATTGCTCAGACATTAAGAGAGACGGAGTCAGGGAAGCTTTCGTGAAGAAAAGCGTCAATATTTACCATTCCTTCCACCTCTTCGTTGAAGCCGTCCACCGGCGCACACTCACTGGCATGTCCGTAGCAGAAACAGTTCCCGCGCACCACCATGTCGTAAATGGCATAGTAGTATTTCTCTCGGATCTCCATCCTTGAATCCAGGAGATTGTCTCCTAGCGTGTGCAGCTTGACGAATTTGACTCTCAGATTTGTGATCTTTAATAGGTCTGCAGGGAACACCAAGAAAACCCACATTTTTGAATTATTTACCAGCTATTGCACTGAATGGGAGGAAGTGAGGAGAGCTGCAGCCTGAACAATGCGTGACTCCCCAGACAGCGCTCTTCCTGCAAGCACATCACATCAGATTGAACTTCTGGGCTTATATTCTAGAAATATATATATCACTGAAAACACACCACTTCATATTGCCAAATTCCAGAAATTGCATTGATTTACTACAGGCTAATCACTATGTAAGTTAGTTTAGACCTGATATTAAGGAACTACTCACAAGGAGACCAGGTTTGAGTTATGAGTCTTTTTGGAAAAAAAACTTGCTTGAAAACTAGACACGAATATATCTTTCTTCCTTACGCGCCCAATTTTCCTAGCTAATATTTTATTTTGCTGAAAGATGTAACAACCTATCACTAACCAAATACAAAGTAAAAGTTCTCACAGGATAATTTGTGGGAAGACAAAATTCCAGTAATTAATTCAGTCTACTTGTACGCTTGACGTTATAAAGCCTGTGCCTTCTTACAGGCTTGAAACGGGGTTTGAAGTAGCACTTTAGGCCAATGAAAGCAGAGCATCATAGTTTCTCCTTTAAAACTTTGGTGAGAAAATTCGAAACTGATACAGCCACTTGCAGATATTCCTCCGTTCCAGTTATTTTCCTCTGCTTCGGTTAACTTGACACTGAAGGACGCTAAATGAAACTAAGAATGAAAACGAAATGAGAGGTCAAGTTTAAGGCCAAACTCTGCAGTTCCCAGCTCAGGCCAAACGCCTAGGGAAGGTTCTCGTCTAGCCGCACTACCGCAACGTAACTGTACGCCTGCATGCCTCGACTGCAACGACTGTAAAGGATGGTTGTGTTCGTTTTTGCTTTACCATCAGGATCTGTGTGGACTCAGTAATACCAAGAGCAATCATTTAAAAGTCATGATTTAGATATTCCATGTAATAAAACAGAAAAACCTTGTTTTTAAGCTAGAAATGCAAAAGGATGTAAATATATTTGAAGTTTTCTTTCTTCATTTTATGAATATCACACAATTAGGGATCACATGCCAATGTTTCTCTCTCTGAGCGTATAAAGAGGAGTATTGGGTGGGGTTTTTTTCCTTAAGGAAAATAACTGCCTGATCAATGAGGAAAAGGACCAAATACAACGACAGGTGTAAGACTAACCACGAGAGTTGACAATACTGTTCCTTATTTTCCCAGGAGATCACTGTCTGAGTCAGGAAGAAAGGCACACCACAAATGTATTAATCCGATTTCAAAATTATTATCCAGGTTAATCCACGACTTTACGCCTTATTAGCTTTTCAACAGAAAGTAAACAAATGCAGAAATGCTTTCAAATGAGACTGTAAGCTAACTGCATACATACTTTGAATCCTTGGACTGTATGGATCTTCAATCCTAAAAGCAGGATCTAAAACACGATATATTACCTGGAGGAAAAACAGTACAATGAAAGATCCAGCTTTAAAAACAAGGGAATCTGAATTTGTATGGAGGAAAATGAACATGAAAATAAATTGGAAAAAAGAAAACACTCTAACCTCTCCCTCAGTTGAGGGTTCAATGTCAGAGTATCGGGAGTCACAAATTATATCATCCACTTTCTTCATGGGTCCAGTTGAAATTCCAGGAAATGAGCTCTCACAGTCATATGCAAAATACCTATATATTTGCCACGTTTCCCCAAAATCAGACGATCTTTCTATTAGCATCGCAGCAGGACGGAACGTCTAACGATAGGAAAATCAGAAGAGATTGTATTCTATTCATTACCCTTGCAATTACATTCAGCCCCCGTAAGTATGAGCAATTCACATGTCTGGATTTTAAGCTTTCTCCCACTCTGCGCTGAATATTTCCACTATTGGACTGAATATTTTCCAGTATTCCTTTACTACTAACATTCTACCTTCTGCTCAGAGGCAGATCATCACCTTCTTTGAAATAACCCACATCAAACCAGTATATCTTTAAAAAGACGGCATAGAGTTTTCCAATGGACAAGCCGTTAAATACACATATAACCTACAAATAAACTTCTAAGTTTCTCAGATTCCAAATCCCTTTTCAAAGTCGCCAGTTGGAGTAGCGCATTAGGGAGACAAAAGGATTTTTTCTGCTCTCTGTGGAAAGAAATGCAGATGCCTGGGCTGCTGCAACTCCTCGCCTCATCTCCAGCATTCGGAGCTGGCAGGAGAGCTGATGGGCCCCATCTCCTGCCCCACCGGAGGCCTGAGCAGAGCCAGGGACCCACGTTCAGGGCTTGCAGATTTTCTCAGAAATTCTTGCTGGGCAAGTTCTCCGGGATGCACAGAAAAGGCTTCACGTCCACCTCTCTGTCTGTCCACGCTACCTTGCGGCATGCCCTAACAGCTGTCCTCTGTGTTGCACTAAGGAAAACCTTCCTCTTGAAGGAGACCGAGACATTCAGCTCATTCATTCCTACCGCCATCGGCTCCCACGCGTACCACTGACCCTACATGAGCTGGCTGTGACCAAACTCTGGCAGGCTCCGTTTGTTTTAAACAAATCACCTTCCTTCTTAGCTACGTGTGCCCAATTCAAGAAGAATTGGGTACTGAGATTTTTTAAATTTTTTTTAATCTCTACCCTTTAATTCCAAAAGCCTGTGATGATCTTAATGTTTCCATTTATTATCTGGATTTCAAAATGCAAATATCAATTTAACACCCATCTCGCACCAACTGGGTAAGGCCAACAACAGCCTCTTCATCAGTTTTACATTTTCAGACGAGATCCTCCAAGAGCCGAGCACAAAAACATTTCTGTCACAGCTGGAAGGAAAGTTTTATTTCTGATTGCTGGCTGAAAATATCTCACAAATATCTCACAACTTACAAACTGATATCTCACCCAAGAAAAAATGTAGCAACTCAGAGCTGAGGCAACTCAAGTGTCAGTCCCACAAACGCAGTCAAGAAATCATCATTACAACTATCTTTCCCCTGCAGGCTTCCCCACGGCGCCCCGCAGTCCTGTCCTCACCAGCCCTGACGGGGGCCGAATCCCTCTCGCACTTGCCTCCCTGGCCAGCTGCGTCCTTCCAGCCCCAAACTAATCCACGTCCTCATCCACCGCTCCCTTTCTGGCCCTGCTTCAGACGGTCACGCTTCCCACCCATGTTCGGTTTGAAATCCTGACATCAGCAGAAACGCGTACATGCAACACCTGCACCTTCCACAGCAGGAA